GCCTACATATCTGGCCATCATCATTGTAAGTAAAATTTCGTTTTCTAATTGCCAAGTGTATGTTGAGCGGGTAGAAATAGAAATTATTTTTTCATCACTACATCCGGAGCAGTTCTTAATTAACGAGTTTTAAACTAACAATCTGCCTGAAACTTACGACTGTATTTTTTGTATTTGTGTGCCGTTGATAGTTATTTCCGAGAAATACAGGCATGCTCGCGCTGTGATGTCACATACTGTACCTTGCTTCTCATCTTTAAAGCAAAAATTTTCAGCATCGACGATCCCGTTGTTTTCTTTAAGAACAAGTAACACAATCGTTAAGGAAAACGCCAAACTTTCCATTTGGTTCATGGCTCTCACTTCAAAATATAAATTCGTGATCGACTTTAATTGAAATTTCTAACTGTTCAATATTTTATAGATGTTGCTAAAACTTATATGCTTAGTGCACTTCAAACATCATTAGTAATTCATAAGAAGTTACCCTAAGATACGTGTAAAGTACTATGAATGCTAATTAATATGACACAATATTTATTGTCACGTTCATTAGTATTTCTTTCTCATCCTAATTTTTATACATGCATGGAGGGACAGCATTTATTGGTCGACAGAAATTCGGCGTATTTCAAGTAATTAAAACTCTTGAATTCGCGTTTTATCATTGCTGCTGCTCATCGCGTTTTAAGTATGATAAAACACTCCTCCTTCAGTATTGAATATTACTTAATGTTTAATTACGCAAAATAAGCGTACGCTAACTGCCACTAATAACAATTTATTATAGCACTAAATAGACTCAGGACTAAATGGGAACCAATTATATACTAATGCCTGTTTTCCAATAGCGATATTTTTCGCGCGAAGGGAATTTATTCCTTCCAGCAATTCGTTCCAAATGGTTGCAGCTGAGAGCTCTGAAATAAATGTAAAATGTCACTTCGAGCGAAAATTATCGCTAGTGGAAAAACGGCTTAAGACGGATAAACGTATTATCTCAGAAATCTCAGAACAAAGCGCTGGTTAATTTGCATGTTGGATATTTTTCATATCTGGATCGCATGCATGTTTTTTGCGCAACTAAATTCTGGAAATTATATGTTTTAAGTCCAGATATTCGCAGGAGTGCCCATAGGGGGAGCCAATCCAACGCTTGCTGTATATAAGTTATATATTATTCACGATAAAAATGTGAACGTAGAAACGTCCATTTTGCATGACGTGGATGATGAATTGATTTTTGCCACAAGAACGCATTGGTAAATATAATATTCGGCCGCCATTCGCAATCATGCATGACATTTCGTGAAATTTATATTAATGTAGTACAGGTAAAAACATCAATCACCGAGAGGATGTTTCTAGAATTATTTTTACGATTGAATTGTATAGGGAAGTATCCGAGCATTTTAGGTATCTTACAGCTCCAATTTCTGCTCCTTGTTGGCAGAACACGTCAAATATCCACATTCTAACCCCAAAGCGATGAAGTTCAATAATTTAGTAGAGTGATTTTTGATTGCTATTCTTTTCTTTCAGCTGTTTCTATGATACAACGCTGTTGCTATGTTAAAATACAAAACGTATTTATAATATAACATTTATAGTACGCGCATGCTGATTAGTTGAGAAGCGTGTTTCTATAACTACATAGAAACACGGGGATTTTCCCGCTGAATTTGACAAGCGAAGCGATGTAATGAGAATTTGTAATCGAATCGAATTATAATATATGTATAAAATCTTTTTATCGAGTTATATTATAAAAGAAATAGAAAACATATTTTCCTGTGTTTCTATATACATTCATACAAACACTTGTGGGAGTTTTGGAGAATTCGAAATAACGTAGAAAAATTGATTATTTCTCGTTCTCCCAAACTCCAACGCGTGTTTCTATTTAACAATTAGACAACGAGTCCGAGTTGTCTATGAGCGAATAGTTAACGAAGATGAGTTGTCTAATTGTTTTAGTATTATATTTAGTAATTGTTTTACACCCTGTACCTAGATATATTAATTTCGAGAAAATAATCGATACACCGCAAATACACCGAAAATCATTTAATTAATTCAATTTTATACGGTCGCGCGAGCGAATCGTGAAACGTTCACCATCGTGAAACGTTCACCATCACGAATAGACAATGGTTGAGTAGCCAATCCGAATTTAGGATTTGTAATAGACAATAGTCGGGTGTATACTAAAATTGAATAGAAACACGGAATATGTTTTCTATTTCTTAGATATTAAATATTCAACAATTGACCAATAAAAATTGCCCATTTTGTCACGTAAAGATTAAATTTATCATGGTATTCTAGCATTTACCAGTAGATATCACATTCAGTGATCTCTTTGGTCAGCGCTCTCCTCGTATTCACAGCTAGAGCAGAGGAATATAAATTTCTGCATTCCTTCTGCCATAGCAGCGGTCACTACGTATTCACCGCTAGATCCAGAGGTGGATATTAATCGTGGAAGCCACGCAACTCGCGAGATTTATTTAAACAAAGAAAGAAGCGAGAAAATGTTATCTATTCTCAAGTAAAGCCAAAACGGCCAGCCATAATTTTGAAGCGGAAGAAGATCGAAAAAATACCCGAATTTACACGAAGGATATTCCTAAAACACATCAAAGAGTACAAAAACAGCATCGAGAGCATTTGTTCAAGCTGTTAGAAGGCAAGGAAGGTTTGGATAAAAAAATTTTGTGCAAACACCGAGAAGAAAGATGGTTCCAACTTCCAAGTATAAGGCAAGTGCTTTGCTAATCCTTCGACCAGCTAGGCCGTTACGCAGGCTTGCTACAGGCATAATTATGTGAATCAGGCATTATTATATAAGTCTGTCACTTAATTGCCTGCGTTGCCGCTTTTGACCAAAGTCTTTAAATCGCGTAAGTCAAATTGTGTGACACATGCAGGGTTGTGAGTTTTATGAAATGCCGTTTATAAATAACATGATCTAGCTACTTTTAGCAATGATCATTGTTTGGTGTTTAATGTATACGTGTTTAAATTTCGCAGACATGCACAAGTGAGCGAGGTAATGGCTTTCGGTTCGACCATATAATCCGTGTTCATTAGTCGACTTTGTTTGAATAATGCCTCCTTGGTCAATTCGTATTCAGAGGGACAAAACGTACGCTTTTACTGTACAGAAGGTCCGCGTTTTGGTCAGTTTGATGATCCAAGCACAGAAAGATTACAATATGTAGCTAATATCTGCGAGGGTATAGGTATTAGTACACAAAACGAAAAAAAGGCAAATCTAATGCGTCAAGGTAAAGTTATTTAGCCACATTTTTTCCTTTTTTAGAATTTATTTCAAGGTTTAACGTATAGTCGAAAAAGTATTTACAAGTTACAAGCATAGATATTCTATTGAGTTTTATACTGGTTTAAAAAAGTACAAAATTTAACATCGGTGCGCACAGTGTATATTGCGGTGCCCGCGCCAAGTTTGGCACCGCATTATATTCTGCCTGTGAGTTTGTTTGTTCGCATCAATACGTTTCCTTAATCGCCTAGTAAAAATTCCTTGCACATGCTTGGAATGCTTGGAATTTTTTCCTAATTATTACCATTAATCTTGTTGTACGTTTGCCAAATTCCTTTTTTAAAGGAACGTTCTTTTTTCAATTTCAATCTCAAACTCTGATAATTGCGTGTATCTCTGCTTTTATGCACCCAAGAAGGACAAAAATACCACCATTTGATTCAGCGTAAGAAATTTTACTTTCAGGTCTTAAACATATTTCTAAACAAGAGTATTCGCAGCGATTTGTGACGTTTGAAAGACAAACGAAATTGAATTGTTGACAAATCGCTCAAAATTACTATGCTATACTTCACTAGTAATAGTAAGTTTGGTCTTTGATATCTTTCATATCGTTGGTTTTCTCTTTTAATTTTCGTCCTTAAATAAGTGGTTCGGTCTTACATTACGATTTATTTTATAGTACTTTGAGCCAAATATATTCTATTTCGAAGGTTTTAAAGTATAGTTTCAATAAGCGAACTTTATGACAAATCGCTCAAAATTATTAAACAAACTAAAAATGCAGTACGCTTAATCCTTGACTTCTGTATCGTTGCTTTTCTAGTTTCCGGCTCTACACCAGTTTATTCGTCTCACGTTTCTCTTCATTTTGATAGTATTTTTAGATAATATTTTTAGCCTAAATATTTTATTTCTGAAGATTTTAAAACGGCGCAATTTTGACCTTAATGTCCAACCAACCAGGCTGCGGCCGACAGGAGAATGTAAGTTGGTGATGTCGTTAGAAATGAGCGGACGTTTTATTTCTAGGCAAGCGTTGCGGGCACCGCATTTTAGTACTGTGTCTGGTTATTATTTATTTTTATCATGAGGAGCTGTCGAGCTGATGAACCGTTTGCATTTTTCCATCGGGTTGTATATAAGATATAGATATACATCACATGCACTGTAATCAAATTTGAGTTGATCGAGTTGATCACCGCCATGCATCCTTTAACGACAGCGGTAACAATTTTGGACGCGGAATATGGCACGAATATTCTGGATTTAAACCACCTTGAACATAAAGTTCTCCCCACCCTGTGATTTAAAAATTCTTAGCAAATATATGAAGCTGAAAAACGCTTTAAAAAACAAAAGCCTAGTGTCCTGAGCCTCTGCTCCTTGAGCAAAAAGGATTCCTTTCAATTGACCTTTATTCTATGAAACTATATTTCGAATAAGTAAAGTTGACAATGTCATGTAACACCTCAGACAACTATATTATTATGCATTTTACTACAACCATGCATTATTGTTTAAATCTATTTTACAAACAGCGACCCTTTAAAGGTTTCGAAACATATGTTTTCCAATGGTCCAAAATCTATGCACTATATAATGCACGTAAAAAAGACTGATAAATGACATAATTACGTTCTATATCTACGATTACATTCTGCATGCACTAATTGGTTTGTTTATACTGACGTATACCCTGAATCAGCTAGTTGCAGTAGGACCATAAATTTCAATTCCTAAACAAATGTCCCTAATTGTCTTCACCCTAAACAGTATTGATATTAGCGGTCTATTAAATAATATCTCGCTTTCTTTCATACATTGCATTTGTTTTAATTAAGAAGCAATATAATAATAACCTTTAATATATAGATCTTAAAATGCACGCAGCTAACATAAAAGTGCTTTACATAATAATATCCAGCCTGTAATTTGCTTAGTTTTAATTGATAACAATTGGGATGTGGATTATTTCATCAATGACGCTGGCCACTTTGCCTTGATTTCTTTTAATCTATAAAATAAAATAAAATTGATTTGTTTTAGGTATTCAATAAATAATTATATACATTCAACAAATTATTTTATAGAGGTTGAAAGGGTCTTAATTTCGAGTGGAATCATACACATGCACTTCAAATCCAAACAAGGAACAGTTGATGGAAAAATGAGTCAACTATCAGTCCTCCGGCAGGAATCAAACCTACGCTTCCGCGACGCCGGAGCCGTTACCAGGTAAACATCCCATCAGACTTTGCCAGCCGCCATGCCCCGGATTGCAACGAACCAAAATGCCAGATCTGCAATTTCATCGTTTCGACTGAAGATTCTGTAGTCGGTTTCGCATCCGTACAAGATGTTCGCACGTCATCGCAAATTCCATTCACCCCAAGATCATCCTGGATTAAAAGTCAATCAGAATGTCTAGATCTCCTACGCACTCACGCCCACTTCAAACAAGGCAGCCGCCCATCAAAGAAAATCACAAACATCAAGGACGTCAAAAAGGTATCTGAACGTCGTAACTATTGCCAGAGATGGCCTTTTGGTTGTCCGCCGCAACACCCCCTTTCCCCTTCTTTCCCCCTTTCACCGACCTCATCGTCGTCCCACGCACCTCGCTGGAGCACCCCTCTAAGCAGCAACTACTACTTCATATGAAGCGTCATTTCTACGCCCTCGACATGACCAAAGTCGTCGATTGCGTCTGTGAAACATGCCATACGCGCGCATCGTTACGCAAGCTACCCGAGCCACTGATGAACCAGTCAACAGTCGATTCCCAACGTGGTTAAGATAATTTTTCAAGCGCTCGCAACGAGCTTGCAAGTGGGCCTTTCTGCGGTTTTTGCGAGGACTGAAAAAACTCCTTAAAACTATTCGTTCTAATCCAATTTTTAACAGGAATCTTTTGGTTCCTTTTTCAAAGAGCCGAATAGTTGCTATCAATAGATTTGGGAAAGACAAATATAATAATTATAATGTTGCAATTCGTTTCATGAATATAGCTCAATTTGTGCGTGGGATAAAATGAAATTGTGCCGATTAATAACTTGTTGAAAAGTCAAAAAATAGTTCATTGACTCGTTTTAAATTTGCACTGCTCTATACATCAGAACACGTCCTACCACTTTCACAAAAGGAGGTTTTTTTGTCTCCGAAAATCCAATCATTGCAAAAGAGCCTCTTCTTTTTATTGATGTAACAGTCTCTGGAGCTATGAGGGAAAGGGCCGCATATGCTTCAGCTGTCATTCCTTTTTCGCCGTCATCTTTAACAGCAGCGATGATGATTTTGCTAAAATCGTAAATATACAGGATAAACTTTCAACTTTTAGTTAAAGAGTTCAATAGATAATAAATTAGGCTAACCACTGTCTCTTTGTCAGAGTGAAAGACATTACATACATTGCATAGTTCAATCAAAAGAAAAAATTGCACGGGATCATAAAACCTGTTTCGCATTATAACAAGCGTTTTCAGCATGCTTGAAAAGATCAGAAAGTGGTTTGCATATATTGCGATAATTTGCGGAACAACACAGTGACACAACGGAATCGAGTGATGGCTTCACACACGTAGGTTGCCTATAAATATGCTTTTCTCTTGTAAAAAGATTAGAAGTTTGGTGTCATTAAAAAAAATATGGTTATTAATTTGGACTCCTCATTCTTGCATTCACTATACGCCGCTGATTTTACGTAAAGACTCTTTCCAAGATTACAAATCAAAGTGCTTGACGTGTTGGAATTTTTTTCCAAAACAATAAACTGCTGATCTCTATTTAGTTTTCCGAAACATTAAATAGCCAAGAAATCGTGCACTACCTAGCACGACTCCAAAACTGAACTAACTTTGTCTTGGTGGAGAGACTGAACTTACTTCTTCTTGGTGGAGAGACCCTTTACAAATGTGGTCATGTCTGTCGCATCCAGATGTGTGTCAAATGCACGCGAGTCTTCGATATATCTTAAAATTGTTTGGAATTCGTGTCGTTAAAAAATTTTGTGACGCTAAAATATATATATATATATATATACTTTGGTTGAAATTGTCCTATTGAAATATTTTCTTGGCAGCAGTTGCAATAGCAACAGAGATGTTTCAAAATGGCTGCAAAAAGAGTTTAATATTATATTATTATGTTGTGAAAAATGTTATTTTAGCTCCAAGACTCCATGTTCAACCTCCACTAGCTGAACTGTTAATACGCAAGCATGCAGCCATCAATAAAATAAAAGCGCCGACAATGTGGGTTTCTCTCGCTCAAAAAATTGTTTTTGCCAAAATTCCAAATTTTGCAATTGTTGAATTGCAAATTTTGTTTTTCTCTGTAAAAAATTATTTTGTTTTATTTCACGACAATGTGGATTTTTATCAAAAAATAATTTGCGTAAATATTTAGTTTTGAAATAAGCGGAAATTTTTGACCTATGATAAAATAATTGTTTGAAAAATATTCTTATGATGAAATCTTACCGTTCTTGCCGTCGATAACAACAAAGTTAAAACCACGCGTATCATTAGAATAATCTTTTCCGTTAATCTTTATAATTGCATGACCCCATGATTGGGGGTTAGATTGATATCCAAGACTGTTCACGTGAATATTAAAGTTTCCATCTGTAATACCGGTTTTATTTTGTTATCAAAATGTTTCCTCGTCCTTCATTTAATTAGATGAAATTATAAGACAAGATGGCGGACAGCTCGCTAATTGCAGTCTCTAGAGATTTTTCAAAAACTAAGCAAGAAATGAAGGAAACTATTTTTTACACAATATCTAACTAATTACCTGTACATTTTTTCCCCTTATCCTTGTCATATGTGCAAGAACAGTTCTCTTTTAAACAAGATTCATCCTTGCAATTGAGACAATCACAAATCTTCGCCTAAATAATAAGATATTGTTGGTCAGATAAGAATCTTGTATAAAACTTAATGCGGATGACAGAAAGTGATGAAATGAGATAATCGTGATAACAACGGCACGCGATAACATAATCTCTCATTAAACTGAGAAATCAAAGCGGCAATAATACCTGTGCTTTTTTTTCTTGCGATCTGAATTCATATTTTAGCGTTTCATGCGATCTGATTGGCTACGCTGAGGGAGTACGGACCGCACGATATTTAAAAGCACGCACGCACGGGGGAAAAAATAAATTGAAAAAATAAATAAATTATTGAAAAAATAAATCTTTATTTTACCAGTTTAGTCGGTCCGTATATAGGGAAATATTTCTCAAGGTCTTAAAAGTGTCCCTCGGCCTTCAGCCTCGGGCTGTTTTTGAGAGCTTGGGAAAAATCTCCATATACGGAACTCCAATCTGGTAAATATATATTATTCTACAAAGTTTAGAAAATTCGTCATTGTGTGCACAGCTACCATCAGAGCGATAAAAATGAACATACTATTATTAGTTGGAATACGTCATTATCATCATTCATTTGTTAAGAAATTCATTGTATTCTGACTTAGCGAACATCGAAGACGGGACTAAATCGTTCGACAGGCTCGTGGACGAAACGTGAATGATATATTTTGTATTGTTTATTCGAATGGTTATTCGATTGTTACTTGGTTACTTGATTATTTTGATTGGCTAAACTAGCTAAATATTTATAAGCCATTCACATTCATCATTAATATAGCTACAATCAAACATGAAAAAAATATGTCGTAGAAAAAACTCTTCTCATCCAATTTCTGAAACGAATTATTTGGTAAAAATTGGAAATACGCGGGCGAAAATAATTGCCTGAAGACTATGGAGCCTGTTGTTTGGTAGGAACAAAAACGTTTGCACGGTTTGAAAAGAATTCGAAAAACTCACAGCTTTTTGACTTTCTATAGCTGCTTCTGTTAATACGTCTTTAAATCGTGCTTCATTTCACATAGTTGACAAAATTATGCATGTGACGCCTTTGAAGAGAGGCTTCATTTCACACTTAAATGTTATACTCCTAATTCAGTAAAATAATGATTAATGTTTCTTGTTCGAGATATTGCTAGACGATTTTCTTCTTCAATACAAAAATGAATTTTAAGTAATTCTAATTTTCCTTTCGGGTACCCTCACTATTTAACAAATCAAATTCCGGTCCGATTTTCCCCATCCGGACTCTTGTAGTGTAGCGATTAACAGATTCCAGTCATATAGTCGAAAATCTCTTAGCTGAAATATTACCATGCATGCGTGTTCTTAAGTTCTGTGTCAGGATTAATTGTGCATGGCCCTCAGTTTTTACTAATAAACAATAAGAGCCTGTCACATAGATATTTTTGCCGTTTTTAGGAAATGTAGCTAAAAGCAGTGATGAAATGTATAATTATTATGTAGTCAATTTGTTCAGCATTTGATGATCTATTTTAAAGACTTACACGTTGTGGTTCAACCATGGTATAGTGGTCGTACATTTTATTCTTTTCAAGATTATCGAGATTTTCTGTTGCTTGTAAATGCAGCAGTTCACAGGTTTCACTCGTGTTGCTGTTGCAGGATCCACTTTTCCGATAGTTCACTGAACGACAGCATTTATGGCTAAGGCAGTGATGAACACAATCGGGTCCAGAGGAAGATTCAACACATTCAAGCAAGCTGATATTTAGTCGGTGACCTAGATTGAATGCAAACAGGGTTAATAATTCGCCCTGGATTGCATGCCGCGTCTGCCGCTAAATTGAAACGCCAACACAATGGTAATAACGTACTTGTACGCAGCCATCTATTACTGCAAAATCCAACCCAGGCCTTCATCAATACATTAGCGAAGGCCCTGTGTCGCGTCCCTGCTAACAGGGAGCGGAGCGTCAACCGGACTGGTTAACCAACATACTTAAACCGCTCAGTATCAATGTTCTCCCGGTCTCCCCGATGAAGTTTAGCTAACGTTTTACCATGCATAAAATTAGGGAGTCGTCACACTTCACGTCCAAGAATAAACTAGAGTTTGTTCTTGCTATAATTATTTATAGAATTTGCTCCTGCACTCATCAAATATACTAATTGGCTAATTGGTTTCCCTGGATCATACCTACAAGAAAGGCTTCAGTGACCGCCATCTTGGCTTCAAACTTCCGACCAAGTGAGTCTTCCAGTCTTTGGAGCTGTTTACATGAGCCCGGTTACCCGAAATTCAACGAAGCGTGAGAGGACTTTGAGGTATTGAAATAAGTCTTTATGACACCAAACAAGTACATGCTTTTGTTGTGGTGATTTTTCGACTGCCAGGATCATGTTATCTGCTCATTTCAATACCTCAAAATCATCTCACGCTTCAGTTGAATCTCGGGTAACCGGGCTCTCGGGTAAATAGCCCCTTATTTGAGTTCAATGACGTGAGCAGCCCGGTCAACTATGTTATGCATATAATTACGTCATACTATCTTATACCATTACGTCATACTATTATATGTATATAATTATCCTGGGAACTCTCTGACAAAAAATACAATGCATACATTAACGCCATCACTTTTAACAAAAAATTACCCTAATTCTTTAAAAAATCTACACATCTTACATATTATTTACTACATTTATCTGTCATATTTAGACTTGATACTTAAAATGCTTAAATTTTGCAAATAAAAAGAGCATGTTTATCGAAATTTTGCAATTGTGACAAACGTCGCCATCTTCTGACTGGCTGTTAAAAGCTAGGAAAACAAAAAAATGGCGATCAAAAATCAGTTTGCTAAATTGATGAATTTCGTAGCATTAGGAAACACGTTTTAAATGACTTTTTAAGCTTCTAAAATGCGCTGTAAAGCTAGAAACGAAGCAGAATCGTGCGAATAGTGCACATGAGGAAGTGGGAAATATTTATGTGGTAAGAAGAGTGCGCAAGAGCCGTTTTATGATTAATTTTTCGTAGTTTATTTCGATTTCAAATATATCGTTTAGATTATATGTAGTATAGATGTTTACTTGTTGCATTTCACAATTTGTGCGAGAATATGTTAAACAAACTATTATCATTACTATATATTAATAATGTTGTTATTATGTTTATTATGTTCGGCAAACTTTGTCGCCGTTAAGAAAGAAATTTAGGCCTTCACGCCAGCTATTTGTTTCCGGAGAGGATAGAAAAATACATTAAAGCTCATGATGATGTATATTAGTTAATTGTTTGGCAGGTATATTTGGCGTAGCGTCGTTTCGTATATACTGCAGCTGAATGCGCACATGCATGCTTTTTTGTATATAGACGAAAGTCTAAATTTGGGATTATCATTGTTAACGTAACAACGTCATCAAAAATTGGAAAGAACAATGAAACTGCCATCGTATGCATGTTAATACTATAGCGATTAATATCAGCCATAAAAAATTATCTTGCGATATTACCCGATGAAAAAGTTGCATATTTGTTTCTTTACAGGTTAACATTAGTGGATTTGAAATGCCAAAAATATTAAGCCACAATTAAGGGCACAAGAAACCATCGTATTAAAATATATTTTCCAGATTTACCCGAACTACAGTATTACTGATATAAGATAAGGTTTATAGTGTGTTTATCATACGACATATAACATATTGGTTCAAATTATTGGTTGATTTAAAATCGTTCAACTTTAAGTCATTAAGAATGAGAACAGTTTATGTATCACTTATAGTGCATTCTAGAGATGCGCCAATTTTTTTCGATTTTTTTTCCGTTCTAGCGTGAATCTTTAAAGCATGTAGTTCACTTTTCATACAATAATACTACAATAGTAAAAATGGAAATTATTGGCAGAAAAGGGAATAAAAGTATCAGAAGTAGTTTAATTTGCTATTTTGTATACCGATTGATATGGCAGCATTAAAAACTTAAAAACGGCATGAAAATTATTGTATAGAGTTAATGATAATTATATCGAGTATTAAGAAGTAACACTTTATTTTCCAATTGCCAATCGCAAGTTGAGGGGGAGAAATAGAAAAGACTTGTTCGTGACCACTTCCGAAGCAGTTATCAATTGATGCAATTGCAAGCTGACAATCTTCCCTTGCATCTACATTAATTTCCTTTCTTGAAACAATGTACGACGAAATACTATCACAAAATACTAATTCTATTTGTGTACGTATTTGTCCACGTATACTTATCTCAAGAAATAATACAAGAATGCTCACGCTGTCATGTCACATACTGTACCTTGCTTCTCGTCTCTAAAGCAAAAATTTTCAGCATTGACGTTCCAGCTGCTTTCTTTGAGATAAAAAAATACAATTATTAAGAATAAGGTCCAACTGTCCATTTTGTGAGTGGCTCAATCTTATATTTCAATATTAGTATTTCACAAACGTTAGCCAAACTTATATAATTGCTCAGTATAATTATTAATAATTATTTAATTATGCAAAATAGGTGTGTGCCACCTGCAACTACTAGTAATTTATTATACATGGTGCTTTAAAAAAAGGACCCCTTATAGTCAAGCTTTTTTTAGGATATGTCAAACTCACTGATGCTTAAAATGCAAAGCGAGACGCTCAATTTGGATGCCCCAGCTGTTGCTATTTACACGCCAGGGCAATAATCGTGCATTGAAATTTCAACAGAAGCTCCATTTCAATAACGGGGTACTTTTTATACAACCTGTAGAACTAGATTCACTGGACACACTCAACTGCAACGGCAACTAAAGCAGGGTCTGAACGATTTCTTGGACAACTACAGTGCAAAAGTGGTCCAATCCTCTCAGACAAGAGAGGAATTACAACGGTGGATTTAGGGGACAGTTTGAAATGGTCTGCTGGGCGGAAATGGTCTGCGGCGAAGAAACTAGTTCATATCAATATTCTACTATTGAAAAGCGCCTTCCTGGCCCTTCAAGCACTTTAAAAAAACAGAACCTGAATAACTGTGTAAAACGCAACGGCTGAGGCTAACATCTACCACAAGGGCAAAACACATGCTCCATAATTTCTTCAACTCGCTAGCACATAATTGCATGTGGTAACTTTCCACGTCCCTGGGAAGTTGAACAATCTGTGCAGACAACAACAACTGGATGATAGACTCCAGCACTATCAAACCTTTCTTGAAACATTGTCGAACTTCCCGAGCACACTCAGGAATATTCGACGTTTCTAATATAAAGAGATCTGCATGTTCATTATCGCCTGAGAGTTCTGCTCATTATACCTTTAGTGTAGTTGGTGATTTCCGCTGTAGCTAAAAAGTGCATGTTCAGTTTATCTTGTATTGTTAACAAATTTCGTAATATTACGCAACGCTTGTATTTAGTAATAGTGTTTACCAGTGCTCGTATAAGTGCTTACGAGATAAGAATTAAAGTAAAATAAAAAAGTCATTTTAGGTAAACAGGATATGGAAAATACTGATCACTTAACACAACTTGGGAGTAGTAATAATCCCTGTTATAAAATTATTATAGTAATGCAGCAAAGTACTTCAGCAACATCTTGTGGAATATCTTATCCAAAATAAATTTGGGTAAGAGCTAAGCAACTATAAATGGATGGAACGGCTCTCATATCGAAGGAGTCATCAATGAAGGCAATCTGAGATTATACTATTTAGTTCAGTTAACTGAGAGGGCTAAAATACCAACTGCAGATCTGCAGGGGCGAAACAAGTGTGATAATTGCAGGGGGTTGAATATTCGTATAAATTATTCTGTTATAAATTATGCGTGTTTTCAAATGGAAAAACTTCATTATCAACTTATTTTGATAGCCTTTCTATGTTCTGGAGGTAGTCTGTTCACAATACGTCAACAGCCAATTCTTTAATATCTAATTCGAATAACTCTAAGTCGATTAGGTTTTTTTACGATATAAACTAGTTTGAGCATATTCATTACAGTTGGTGGAAAGGATATTCCTCTTTCTGACAACGGCCCTGTTGGTAAATCAAAGATATCGTCTGGCCCGGGCAGATTTGTCTTTTTTAAATCGTCATAAATTTATGTCCACAGTAATTGTCATTACATGTCATTACTGCTATGTTTGGAAAACCCGAAACGTTTAAAAGTTAACTAACAGTTTATTACACTAATGTTAATTAACAGTTTATTTACAACTTGTATTGTATAAAATATTAACAAAACAAACTATTCATTAATCCTTTCACGATGTTTGTAGCATCCTGCTGACCTGCTGTATTAAAATTTTAAAGACTTCCTAATGTTACTGTCAAGCAAGTTGCAGATCTTTTTGGTTGACTACGAAATACGAACTTCAATGTTTACACGGGGTCAAATTACCTACGGGAGCTCGGCTCGCCTAGTATTACTCGGATACAATTTGTATATATGCCGCCGTAAATCGTTAATGCGGTTCACCTACGGTAGATTGATTTGTTAGCCGATTCGCTTAAACTGCACGAAAAATTTATTAAAAATTACAGTTCTTTCACGATGTTTCCGAGTTTAGAATGAAAAAATAAATTACAGTCATAGATCGTGATCTCTATATAAAGTTATAGAGCACTGTAGCCGAGCTCCTCGTAATCCGCATTAAAATTTGCGAAAAATCACGGAGCGAAGATTCACTAAATGTCTTCCGTAATTACTGTGCAAATGAGACACAATTCTGTTGTGGACCACAAAAAACAGACTGCAATGTATAAATATCGCGTTATGTTGACATTCGAGAGTTCATCCACAACTTTGCAATCTAAATGCTGGTTGCTTCTTAACTTAACCTATACTTAGATTGATTTCCTTCATTGATTTACATAAACTGCGTGCACTAACATTAAAATGCTCTCACGATGTTTCCATCCAAAACTAAGAGTAAATCAGATCGTAAATTTGGTAGTGGAGTGTATCTATAAATACGTAAAAGCTATACTCATAGGCTACTTCTTATTTATAAAATAAAAAAAATTGGTTGATATGCACTTTAAGCTTTAAGCGGTATATTTACTAGTTATTTCTCCACAACTTCTTAATTCTCAGTACACCATTTAGTCCCTCACTTTCGATTACTTATATTCCGTGCTGGGATACGAATGAATCAAAATTATTTCTTTGAACAAGTGCCCACCCAATTTGCCACTCTGTCTGAGATCGTACCAGCTAATGAAATATTCGTAAGGGACACCAATACGAAATACAATGTCAATGTCGTTCACACCATCTTTATACGTGCATGAATAACTTAAAAATGTTCGGAAGACAAAGAAATATTTTTCTTAACTTTATTTAAATCAAATTGATTTGGAATATCACACATCTAGTTTATATATATATATATATATATATATATATATATATATATATATATATATATATATATATATATATATATTTTAAATATATATATATATATATATAAATATATATATATATATATATATATTTAT